ATGAGAACAAAAGAACATCATGCTTTCCATGTTCAAAGCCAGCAAGTGTATGAAAAGTGGAGTTCTTTCATACACTGAGACTGTTTGCTTTATTTGATGTGCTTTTTTATTTTGGCTTCAAAAGGATAGGAGGAAATCAACCCCCCAATCACATGAGATTCTGTGCTATGTCATAAGACATATCATGTCCTTTAACTCTCATAGGATCAGAACCCAGGTGCAATGGTTCTCACTTTTGATGCTGAAGAGATTCACAACATAGAGAATCCAGGTAATTGGCAAAATATCATCCACATTAAACTACCACAGGGCTTTGTTGAAACAATCAGCGTGTATGATTTCAAAACAGAGTATCTACATCGGTTTTATAACCACCCCAAATATATTATTTATCTAGAAAAGCACCCCCCAAAAGAAATTACATGTGAAATTCAATTTTAAGTGGCCAAATTTTGACAAGTAAAAATTAAGCTGTAGATGATAGAGATCAATAGACTGATAAGTAGGCAGGAGATAGGTAGAGATAGATAGATAGGTAGATAGATAGATAGATAGATAGATAGATAGATAGATAGATAGATAGTCAGACAGACAAGAAGGCAGATAATGGGTGGGCATATGGAAAAGGAGGGAGGGAGAGAGACTTCAAAATTCAATGTATTTATTGGGATGGTTTCCCAGTCATCTCAAATCACGGTTCTTTTGTACCACTTTCCGCTGAAAGAACATTCTTCCATTTTCCCTCCTGTTGGTTACTAGAGGACCATGGAAGAGTCAACACACAAGACTACAGCTGGTGCACAGACGAAGATATGATGATCTCACAGCATCCAGGGTGATTCACATCCATGGAGAAGGAGACAGGTGAGTGAGATCCTTTTTAACAGGCATGTTCTCATGCAAAAGTCATCGCCATCAGAAAAGATCTTGTTTTGCTTTATTTCTGTTTTTTTTTTTTGAGACAGAATCTCACATTGTAGCCCAAGATAACCTGGAAAACTCTATATCATGCATGTGGTACTAAGCACTAAAAAAATCAATCAAAACAAACTTGAAGAAAAAGAGAGTATTCAAGTAAGTTGTGGTGGCAGTCCCCACTTATAGTTTCAGTACTCTGGGGATGTTCAAGGGAAAACTGTAATGTGTAGTCTTCCATGCCAGCTGCCTGGGTCCTGCCAAGCAGTTTCAGCCCCCAAATAGCACACGAGACACTATATTAATTATGAAACTGTTGGCCATTTGGTATTGTTTCTCTTTGGCTAGCTCTGACTTAATTATTGACCCATAATTACTAATATATATTTTTATAAGGTCTTATCTTACCGAGAACGCAGACTTGCATCCCCTCTTCCCCGGAATCACATGACGATGGCTCTCTTCACTACATTTCCCAGAATCCTCCTAGACTCCTAGTCCCACCTATCTTGCTTCCCTATTGGCCAACAGTGCTTTATTTACATATACACAGGACTTCCCCATCAGAAAACTAAGCTATGATAGTGAGATTCTGCCCCAAGAGGAGAGGGGGTAAGTTAAGAAGGGAAAGAACAAAGGGAAGTAGGGATGTTACCAAAGATAAAGAACATTGTATCATGGCAAAATGTCAATTGATAAGGAGAGGTAATCAGTAAGGGGCAAGTGCCCATAATGAAGCCTCAACATTTTTTGGGACAAAAATTAGACATAGGCAAATAACAGAGAGAGCAGAGAGCTTTCCTTGGACCTCTTCTCTTTTTTATTTAATTTAAAAACAAGCTTGCTTCACATGCCAATCCCAGCTCCTTCTCCCTCCCTTCCTCCCCCACCCCCACCAGGTCCCCACCCTCATCCAAGCCCCACTCGGTTCCCCAAGGAGGGTGGGACCCTCCATGAGGGAATTTCCAGAGTCTGTTGGACCTCTTCTTAATTGCCTTTAACTTGGCATAATTTTTATGCTAAAATATTGTGTCTTTGTCTCAGAAGAGGCAAAAATAGAAGCTTCACCATCCTGGCTCCAAGGTAAAATCTTGTGTATCAGTGAAACTTTCTTACAGCTCCCTGATGTCTTGTTCCTTTTTCTCTACTGACAAGTTCAGATTTTAATAGTTACATTGTTAATGTAAGCACTTTGAACACTCTGGAAAATGAACTTTATAAATATAAGCCATTTCTACTCATATGTGAGGGTGGGTAGCTTTTTCTTCTCACCTCAGCCCTTCACATATTCTCGGCAGAGTATTTACACCCTTAAACAGCATTCTAAATGTTGTTGCTGAATTCATAAAAGATCTTAATGGCTCACAGAGGCCAGACATGCAAGCACAGCAGCAAGCCTCTCTCAGGCTTCAGCATAGGGTGAGGAAGGAATCCATCACTTCCTCACTTCTAAGTGACATCTGGGGAGTTTTACTCCCTAACCATCCCTGTGTTGTTCAGGACTGTCCTTCAAGCTGTAAAGCTAATGATTACTTAGTGAGTTTTTCAACCCTAACAGAGGTGTACACCTAAACTATGTCTGCCATGCTACCCAGATGTGGTGACTTGAAAGACAATGGCCCCCAAAGAGAGTGACAATATTACGAGGTGTGGCCTTAGAGGAAGTAAGTCACTGTAGGGGTTGGTTTTGGGGCCCCTTTTTCTCCAGTATGACTGTCAGCTGACTTGCCTCTGAGTCAAGATGTAGGTTGGTCAGCTCCAGTACTATGTCTTCCTGCACGCCACCATGCTCCCCACCACAGTGATAATGGACTGAAACTCTGAAACTGTAATTAAATGTTTTCCTTTATTAGAGTTTACCGTGGCCATGGTGTCTCTTCAAAGCAATAGAAACCCAAACAAAGACAACAGGTCTATGTGCCGTCAGATACAGAGCTCTGTCGGTGATGGAATCGAAAACCAACTTCCATCAGCTAATGGAAACAGTTGTGCTTGCTCTCTACGGCAACAGAGCCCTGGGTTTCAGAGACAGCCACAGACACAAGGATGCCTGAGTCTCCACAGAACTCTGGCCTCAACGGAAGAGGGTTCCTGGGAAGTCCAGAGGGAGCAGGACAGATTCATAAGAAAAGAAGCCAAGGTTTAGTGTCTTGCCTCCCAGTGCTCTTTTGGTTACACAAATGGAGTGTGGAAGGATGGTGTTGTCATCACTGATAACAGGCCAGACGTGCTGCTGAATACTCTACAGGACCCCATAAAGACCATCACATCAAGGGATTGTGTGACCCAAATGTCAGTATAACCAAGGTTGAGAAACCCTGCTCTGCATGTGCCCATGTCTTTGATCTTCACAAATCCTCCTCCCTGCCATCTGACACTCAAAAGAGAAGTCAGTCGAGTCCAAGTTTCAACCACCTACTCTCCATCTACATGAGTTCTATGACTGCCTAATATCTCAAATGGGAAAGAACCCTTCTCCTAGACTAATGTATACTAACTAATTGGTGATAGAACTAGTGGATTTGAATCAAACATAAATCTAGTTCCATTTTACATCTAACCTCCTGAGAATCCCAGCCCAGACATCTCTGGGGAAAGGACTGAAAAAGGGGGCATCCAATTTCATACTTCTCTAGACCTTGTGGTGCTAATGGATAGGACGCAGGGCCTGCTCTGCCACTGAGCTACACCCCAGCCCTCAGTTTCCTGTCTCTACAAAGAAGGCTAGAATGTTATCTGGGTTCCTTGGACTCCTTCTCTACTTTTCCCTCTAAATATTGATGGACACGGAAGAGTCTTGATTATCTAAGACTACCTAGCTCCTCCCCTAGTGCAATGGTTCTCAAATCCCTTTCACAGGGGCCACTTAAGACCATCAGAAAACACAGATAGTAAACTTATAGTTACAAAGTAGCAACAAAAATAATTTTATGGTTGGGGGTCACCACAACATGAGGAACTGTTTTAAAAAGCCACAGCATTAGGAAGGTTGAGAACCACTGGCCTAGAAGAGTTTCAATTAAGGAACAGCCACCAGGGTCTTGGCCTCTGGTTTTCACTGGCGGACCATGGAGAGCCAAACAGTCACATGGCTCCTTTAAAATCTACTCCAATGGAAGGTCTAAGGAGGAATGGAAACAGCATTGTGCCTAGCGTGAGGCCAGTTCTCATCCTGACTCTGTGGTGCAGAGTCTATGTGGTAGCGGCAAGCCTCAGTTTCCTCATCTGTGAACTAAGGGTCACGTGTCTGAACCCCGCCCCATTCACATCTCCTAGGACATATTAAGTGAGGTTTTCTCTTTAAACATGTCTCCAAAGCACTTCTCAGTGCCTACCATCATCTCCTAGCTTCCTTCTGCTGGCTCCTTCCAGCTGACCCCCTCCCCTAGCTCAGTCCATACCAGACCACGCCCTCCTGTGTACACACTTCTGCTTTCCACTCCCTGAGTTCGGGGAACTCTCATGTGATCAGGCCTCTACTTTCTACACTGTGGCTTTTGCTGCCTGGTAATCCAGTTCTCTCGCTCTCTCTCTCTCTCTCTCTCTCTCTCTCTCTCTCTCTCTCTCTCTCTCTCTCTCTCTCTCTCTCTTTCTCTCTCTCCCAGCCACAGCCTACTTATCAATGAATGCTCCAGAATCTGAAAAATACCTGGAACACAGTGAGGTGTCCAGTAGACACTGGGCACATAAACGTATAAACTAGGAAAATGTAAGTGATTTCTTACTGAAACACTCTGGACACTGGAGTATTTGACCAACACAAACAATGATAATGAGCTGTGTGAGCAGCCGGCTAACACTGCTGTCAGATCTCACTGAAGCACAGGGCAACAGATGAACTCCAAACCACCTTCTGTGCTTGCAAAGCAGTTTCTGGCCCCCGATTTCCAATGGGAGGGTTAGCAGGAGGGAGATGCAAGAGAAGCTGGAATCAGCCGGAATTAATATCAGTAATGAAACTGTCCAAAGACGCTGCTTCTCCGCTTACCTGTGGTCTGGGTTCTGCTATTGTTTGTCTTCTTCTGTATTTTAATTAATGAAGCAAGTTGCAAGGGCAGGAGGGGAAGAAGGAGGTGACTAGAGGAGGGAGAGGCAGGAGGAGTTCCAGTCTCCCGAGTACCTGTCATCTCTGTGACGTGGACAGCTGGCTCCAGTTGTATTTTAAATGAAATCTCACCCTAAAGTAGATACCACATCTGGGATTACGATCAACCCTGTGATCTGTCACTTATATATATGCACAGGGGAGTGGAGCGGTTTCCATAGAGAGGAAATATCACAGCCCACTTTCGAACAATACCAGAGAAGACGAAGCTGCGACCCCGAGCAGTCAGAAGTGCAGAGGAACTGCCTGGAGCAGCCCTGCTGGCCCTGGAGCTGCGCCCCTCACCCTGAACATTTCCACTCCAGAGCAAAGTCCACTTACAGGTAAGGCTGTTCTTAGGGACTGACTTATGAAGTGTAAATGTGTTTTCTCTCAACAAGGGCTGAATGCTAGACAGCTGAGAGAGAGTTGATACTGGCCCTCGGTGGGAGCTCATGGGAAGGGAGTGCTGACCTCCATGACCAGGCTTGTTTTAAATCAGAAGAAACTGGTACCAAAGACACCAAGGGCAAGTTTTTCGGGGGACAAAATGACTGTTCCTTTGTTAGTACACAGACCTGCTTTGAACAGGTGGCAGATCCAATGCAGTTTGTTCAGACTACACACACACACACACACACACACACACACACACACACACACACCTCTTGTTTCTAGATAACAGTCCATCTATGAACACAAAAAGCAGTCTTTGGTGATAGATAACAACTAGGTGGGAATACCAATGCTCAGAAACTGGGGTTCCCAAATTTCATGCTGCCTCAGAGCAGTTTTTCCCTGTGACATCTCCTTCCCTTCCCTGGCAGGCTGGGGTTGGGGGATGAGTTACTACAACAACCCTGAGAACTTAAGAGAGTAACCCAATACAACATGAAATGTGAAGAATCTCTCAGCCCAGAATCCTTTGCATCTTGCAATGCTGGGAATATGAGGGGTTCGGAATTGAGGAGCAATAGCTCAAAGACTATCACCTGCCAGAGCAAGGGAGCGAGGAAGCACATAGAGGGATGTTCCATGTCTACCTTTATGGTCATGCTTCCTTAGAATTCCATTTGTTTTATCCTTTTCTACACAGCTATATAAAGGGGGGGTGAGCCTCTTCTAGGAATGAAATAGCTAAGACACACCCATGACTCATGACAATTGTATCCTCAGTCTTTGAGTCTGTTATCCATAAAGCCTCACTTTCCGTGTACAGGGGAGTTGCTTAGATCTAGATCTAGGTTGGAGAGTGTTCCACACAAACTATTCCGTAGGTAAAATGTTTCAAGAAGCTTCATCCTATAATATTTGAAATGTTGAGTGTTCCCTAAGTTCAGCAGCATGGATTTATAAAAAGTTTTTAGCTGGCTCTTTTCCGTGTTGAGTGTCTTATCTGTGTTTGCAGACACTCTAGATCCCAGAGGTCCAGCTCTGTCTTTATCACTACATTTGGGAAGCTGTGGAATCCACAGTTTCTCTGTCCTGTTCTTTTTCATGAGTCTGGCCAGGTCCTTCATTGCCTAAAGTTGTCTAAAGTGATTGTATCTCTTTAAAGGCCCATAGAGAAGAAATGGTAAAATAACCCCAAAGAACTTTAGACATCTGAAGTTTTTTTAATGTACAGATTTACTCCCCCCCCCCAATCTAACTAACCTGAGCTGGGTGTTTCCATAGGAAGGAACAGGGGAATCTTGAAACTTCATGTTGCTTTAGTGAAGGTGACTGGTCCTGAAGAAGTTAACAGGAGAAATATGTTCAAGGACTATGCATTACCTAGGGAGCAGGGGCATCTTTTTTGTAGTTTTGCTTGACTTTGATTACTTGTTTATTTCCACTTCTCAAAGCAGAGTCACACGTAGTCTTGGGTTGCCTGCTACTTCCTATGTAGCCAAGTATGACCCTGAACTCTGATCACCCTGTCTCTACCTCCCAGTACTGAGATTACAGCCATACACCACTACACCTGACAAAGAGTATTTTTCCTTTGATTCTATAAACCTCAGAAAAACAAGAATAAATCATTGCAAGAAAATCCCTGAGCAGAAATGTGACTCTGTCTCCCAACTCCTAACCTCTACTTTGATAGTAAAATTACAGGGCTAGAGTCAGACTTCTCTGTAATGTACAATAGTTCTGGAAACTTGTCTTTATAAAAACTTCTCATCAGTGTCAAGGATGACATTTCTTTGTCACCCAAAACACCCACAGTCTCTCTCTCTCTCTCTCTCTCTCTCTCTCTCTCTCTCTCTCTCTCTCTCTCTCTCTCTCTCTCTCTCTCTGTCTCTGTCTCTCTGTCTCTGTCTCTCTCTGTCTCTCTGTCTCTGTCTGTCTCTGTCTCTCTCTGTCTCTCTCTCTCTCTCACACACACACACACACACACACACAGACCCACATGAAATCCCATACAAGATAATTGCTCACAGACTATCTTATGTATCATTCAGACATCCTTGGCCTTCTCTCCATGACTTTCTTCTTTGATGGAAATACAGAGTTTATTTTTAGAAAACTGCCCCCCCTCCTGTGTGTATGTGTGATATACAAACGCACATACATACATACATACATACATACACACACACACACACACACACACATTCAGCCTCTGGGTTAATTACTCGTGTAACTGAGGTGAGCAGGATACAAATTCTGAGGCGCTCCATGGAGGCCAAGCTATAGCAAGAAAAAACTTTTAAAGTTTTTCTTGGAAAAACTGTAGACAGTGATGTTGGCAGAACTTTTTTCACGTAAACACACATGTGTGGTTTCAAAATAATAACAACACACCCCTGTAATACATAATAGCATATATCCGCACAGAGAGAATACATCCAAAAGAGAACTGAAAACATGTTCTACCTCAGGGAAAATTAACTTCATTAAGTGCCTGAATGCTAATCTGCACGTCAGTTTATATAACAAATATTTATTGAGGATATGATTCAATATAAACCTCTGCTGACCCTATCAGCAACTACCAAGGATCTCAAGAACCCCCGAAGAACCACAGTGGGGGGGGGGATCTCTATATTACAAAAAGTTGACACACCACAGAAGAACTAGAAATGTCAAAGAAACGCAGAGTTTGAAGTGACCCAATTCAAAGGTGCTGGCTTGTAAATTCAGGAGTTACTTCACACTGAAGGAGCAGCCAGTATTGGAAGAGTCAGTGCCAAGATGAACTTGAACACAAAATATATTGAATTTTCAGCAATACTTGTGATTCTTGTGTAAAACTCCAAACTGGCCCCTGCCTCTATGCTGAGAAGTTTTAGGGAGAGCAGGTGGAGCCTCAGAATGCAGGAAGGGACTCATACTAAGTAAAGGCTGTGTGTGCCTTGGTAACCCTCTTCAATATACACTCACTCAGATTCTGGCTAGCTCTAAACTGGTGCAACCTCTTTGGAGGAGGACCTCTTGCTTTCAAGAGGGAAAGAAGAAAGAGATCATGACAAAGAGACCCTCAGACTCAGTCCTCGGACTTCACGGGTGAAAGTGGGGCTCTTGGGCACTTAGTTCATCTCTACAAGGAACCAATGAATAGAGCAAAAGAACAGAGTTTCTCTACAGCTTTCCCACCAGCATTAACACTTTCTGGACTGTTGTCTGTCTTGCTTTGTTTTTTTAATTCTTTCAGGATTAAGAAGTCACTTAAAATTACTCGCAAGTCTGAAAATGTCTTCAAGACAGCAGGCATTCACTAATTCTATGCAGAGCTAGCTGGGTCCTCAATGCATAGTAAAGCCTAAAATCTGACTATTGAGCACAGTGTGTCTTTGTTCCCAGGGATCAATGACACAGCTCTGTAAAATATTCCTCCAGGAACTCCAACAAGCTTGTTGCTTCTGTTTGAATCAAGTTCTTGGTGGTAGCCCAGGCTAGCCTCAAACTCACAAGCTTCCAGCTTCGGCCACTTGTGTGCTATTCAAGCTGGTGCCACCACCACACCCAGCTCTAGAAATCCCAATGATCACAGAGAAGAGCTGAACTCAATAGAAAAGAGAGGGCCCGCAGCATGAGCATCACCTGCAGGTGCAAGTCCTCAGTCTCAGCACCAGGATCGTGCTGTGTGATCAAATGATCTTTTCGTGGGCTTTTGAAGCACTCTGACTCTGAGCATTGTACTGACTTGAACTAAATGCAAGGCAAACCAAGCCTGAGTTGACTGTGCTGAAAAGAGAAACATGCAGACAAAAACTGTAAGCCAGAGAGGGACTGTGACAACCATAATTCTCTGGAGGACCATATTATTGATTCGGAATACCTGGCATGCTCATGTGTGTAAAATGCATGACTGCAGACTATGCCTCTGCCTTCTAAGATGTAGAGATTACTTATGTGTGAGCAGGATGAAGCAGCCTAGTGAACAGCCGAGTCAGCATGTGGTTAGAGCACACATTTCATACACTGGCATTTCAATCCATCCCCTTAACTTTTGTGAGATAGTTATTGCCATCCATTTGTCCAATGAGGAAACTGAATTTCACAGAGACTAAGGAATCTGCCCAAGGCCTTCAGGTAAAGGACCAGATGGAATCTAGGCAAATTTCTGTCTAATTCCAAATGTGTCCTAGTCACCATAGCCTGTGGCATGCTTATATCTGATCTGTGTACGTATTTGGATTATTTAAAGCAAGGTTCGTGTATTTTGTCATGAAATCCTAAAAAAATGTTTAAATGCTTGTGATGCTAAAAAAGGGGGGAGCAAATAATAAGTTATTTTAAAAGTAAAGAAAGGTGGCAGCTACAATGTACACCTAGGAAAGGAGAAACTTTTACATGGAAACAGCAGTGAGTGCAAGGGATATGTATATGCATATGTGTATGTGTGCATGTGTGTACATGTACCTATGCATGTGGATGAATGTACCTGTATGTATTATATAGATGCACCCGCATATGTGTGTGTGTGTGTGTGTGTGTGTGTGTGTGTGTGTGTGTGTGATGAATATGTGTGGAGCTTACAGGTTTCTTCAGAGAACTGAACTCAGGGGTAAATGCACTATGAGCTGGGGGTGGTGGCTTTTATATATATATTATCCCAGTACTTGGGAGTCTGAAGCAGAAATGTGGGGCTAGTCTGAGCTACATACTGAGTTCCAGACCATCCTGAGTTTAAGAGTAAGATTCATTTTTATAGCCTAGGGAAGTTTGGAGTGGCCTTGGGTCCATTCCTACTCACCAAATTGTAAAGGGCATGGTCAAGGTCATGTTGGAATTAAGGTGATTTAGAGATCAGGCCTCTGAGTACATGGGCCCTGCCACTGTACACCAAAACTGCAGCTAAGACACTGTATACCATAACTGCAGCTAAGTCACTGTATACCATAACTGCAGCTAAGTCACTGTATACCATAACTGCAGCTAAGTCACTGTATACCATAACTGCAGCTAAGTCACAGTATATCATAACTGCAGCTAAGTCACTGTATACCATAACTGCAGCTAAGTCACTGTATACCATAACTGCAGCTAAGTCACTGTATATCATAACTGCAGCTAAGTCACTGTATACCATAACTGCAGCTAAGTCACTGTATACCATAACTGCAGCTAAGTCACTGTATATCATAACTGCAGCTAAGTCACTGTATATCATAACTGCAGCTAAGTCACTGTATACCATAACTGCAGCTAAGTCACTGTATATCATAACTGCAGCTAAGTCACTGTATATCATAACTGCAGCTAAGTCACTGTATATCATAGCTGCAGCTAAGTCACTGTATATCATAACTGCAGCTAAGTCACTGTATATCATAACTGCAGCTAAGACACTGCACACCATAACTTCAACTAAGCCACCATACACCATAACTTTACCTAGGACACCATACATCATAACTGTATCTAAGACACTGTACACCATAACTGCAGCTAAGTCACTGTACACCATAACTGCATCTAATGAACCAACCTTCCTCACTGCTGCATGCCCAGCAGGATCCTGGTGTTGTCTATTCACTTACAGGACATTTCTTGCCTTTTCAAATACTGGCATTAGAAAATAATTGCCCAAGTTTCATAGCTAGCCCAAAGTAAAGTTCAGGAGCACACCCAGATACAAGCTGTTGAAACGTGCACTACATGTGCACTGTATGCACTCAGGATACAGTGTGTTCTAATGACAGGTTGAGAACACACGTGCTGGCTCTCAGCATGTCAAGGGCCGCAGAACAGCAGCCACGGTTACCCTGTGAGGCATTTAGATAAACCCCAACAATTTCCACTTCAGTTTTTCTTGTGAATGATGGAGGGCTAGAATGAAGTTAACTCAGTCCATATCTTTATCTCTGGGTGGGATATAATGTACATCCACAGACCAGACAAAGGGGGCTAGGGTGGAAAGGGGATCAGCTCTTGTACACAGGAGGCAACTTTCTGCCCACTTTCCAATTGTTCTAGAGAACAAACACAGATAACTAATTCTGAAGACCAAGAAGGTGGCCACACACTTACTTAGTACATTTGCTATGTACTATTATTCAGCTTTTTGGGCCAGTGGTAAAGCTGAACCAAACAAGATAGAAACACCAGACTGGCAAATTCTCAGATTATAGAGGATGCATTGCTCTGACAAAACTCCTGATGTGAATTACTTAAGGGAAGAAAGGTTTATTTGGGCTCCCAGTCCCAGATGTTTCAACCCATCATGCCAGAGAAGAATAGAGAAGCTTCCCTCAGGATGGAGAGAATTCACACAGCCAGACAGGAAACAACCAGCCATGACATGCTTCCTAGGAACACCCCTGTCCCCTAGTGACCTACTTTTTCCTCCTTCTGAGTTTCCATAACTCTCTCCCACCCCGACAAAAAGCACCTCAATCAGGAAACCAAGCATTCAGATCCACAAGTGTCCAGGATGAAGTACACACCCAGACCAATCAGAAGCACCTGCTCAAACACAGAGGGTCCGGCTCTTTATTTTGATTCCCTCGTTCTAGGGAAGAAGAACCTGAGAATCGTTTGCAGTTGTAACAAATTTCCAGGTGATGCTCACACTGCTGGTCTGGGGGTAAACTTCGAGAAGCATCTCAGAAGAATATTAGAAATGATCTATTGGCCCTTACTCTGTGTCCTTCCAAGACCTAAGTCCCTCTCACACCTATCTCCACATTCTTCTTTTCTACCACAGGGAGCAATGCTGATGCCCACTTACTTCCTGCTGCTCCTACTGCTGCTTCTGGGGGCCCCCGGGACAAGCCTCTCCCACAAGTTCTACAATGCTGGGCCAGTCTTCAGCTGCCTCAACACAGCCCTGACTGAGGTCAAGAAGAACAAGCTGGAGGATGTGCCTTCGCTGAGCAAGAAGAGCTTCGACCACCTGCCCCCACAAGACCCTTCGGGAGGAGAGGGGGAACAGAAGCATGGCAAGAACAAAAGAACTTTTGCAGGTGCCGCACGTGGGAGTGGAGCAGGAAGCATCCGGTACAGATACCAGTCTCAAGCACAGCACAAGGAGAAGCTGTACCAGGACAAGGCCAAAAGCGACCGGGGCACCAAGTTCACTCTGTCCCTTGATGTTCCCACTAACATCATGAACATCCTCTTCAACATCGACAAGGCCAAGAATTTGCGAGCCAAGGCAGCTGCCAATGCTCAGCTGATGGCACAGATCGGGAAGAAGTAAAGCATAGGCCAGGTGGGAGGGCAGCACATGAGGCAAGAGCTCCAGGGTAGACGGTGAGGGAAACTGAGGGCGTGCCCTTGAATCTCAAAGGACTGCTGCGCCCCTCCGATCCCCTCTTGCTTCCAACCTGATTTCCCTTGTCCCCTGTACATATACACTTAAGTTCAGCATTGCCCGGCCTGTGCAGATGATGGAGGTTAGCATCTCTCCCTGTATCATGTGTTTTCTTGCACCCTGTGGCCCTCCTCTTCAAGCTCCTTCCTGCTGTCCACGTGTCTAAGAAAAGACAGTCGAGGGCCCCCACCCCATTCCACCCATGCCTAGGCAGGTACAAGGAGAGGCACAGCTCACCTACCAAATATGGCCCCTGTGTCCCCATCTGGATTAAAGTCAACAGCTTCTTGAACTTCTGTGTGTCTCTACTTTTCTTCTTTCAAACTGATCTTAGAACAGGAACTGCTAATGGGGGATGTTGCTGAGGGGTCAACTGGCCATACTTCCCAGGAACAGGGTCTGCTAAAGAGTAAGGGAAAGCTTGAGAATCGGTCACCTTTTGTAGTTCCATCTCAAGACATCTCTGTAAACTGGTCCCACAGAAGCAGCATAATTTGGGATTTGTTTCAGAGTAGGCATCAGGCTATGGATGAGCAGAAGGACATAGCATGTGGATTTCCTCCACAGTCCACTAGAGCATGGGACCACTGATTTCTCTGTTGGGTTTTATGTGTATGTGTGCCGTATGCATATGTATAAGCATGTAAACATTGAGGGGCACCTGTGTGTTGGTGGATGTACCTACATGTGTGTGTGCATGGTGAAGCTAAAGATTGATGCAGTTGTCTTCCTGAACAGCTCCGCACCTTATATACTGAGGCAGAATCTCTTATGTGAAGCCAGAGCTCACTGACTCAGATAGTGTAGTTATCCAGCTTGCTCTGGGGATCCTGTCTCCACCTGCCAGAATCTGAGATTATAGGAAGGCTACCATGCCCACCCAGCATTTTTATATTGACACTGGGGATCTAAACTCTTGTCCTTAAGCTTGCATGGTGTCTAAGTTACTTTCTATTGCTGTGATAGGACAGTATGCCCATGGAAACATATAAAAGAAAGCCTTTATTTGGTGCTTACAGTTTCCGAGGGTGAGAGGCCATAGTGGGGAGCATGCCAGCAGGCAGGCATGGCACTGGAGCAGTAGCTAAGAGCACACAATTTGAGACAGGGCCAAGAGGCAGAGAGAAAGAGAATGGCAAAATGTGTTTTGAAACCTGAAAGCTTATCCTCAGTGATACACTTTTCCCAATAAGACCGGTCCTCCTAAACCTTTCCAACTGTTGTACTAGCTGGGTACCAAGTATTCAAACACATGAGCATATGAGCCATTCTAATTCCAACCACCACACATGGCAAGTCCTTTACCTGCTGAGCCATCTCCCTGACCCCTTCACTGAACTCTCACTGTACCCACATACCTGCCCAGAACTGTGCAGGGCACTGTGTCAGATCCCAATGTTTCTGTGACGGAAGGGGAGCTTCTGCCGTCTGAAAGTCAAGAGACTAAATGAAGAAACAGAAGCAAATTTGGAAAGAAGCCAATGTTGTCACAATGCTACAAATGGTGAACTTGAGAGTGAGAGCAGTTGTGTAAAATTACATACATATCCATAGATTTATATGAAGAATTCAAAATGGGAATATTTAATGTGAACAGAATTTTCCCAAAACTGGACCACACTTAAAACTCTGTGGTCATTTACAGCAAAACTCAATGGCAGATTCTCAGAAAAGGAACCACTATCCTATTGACTTCAACACAGGAACAAATTATTAATATATAAAACCAGCTTCTGAGTGACAAACCATAGCACAACACACACACACACACACACAATGAACATCAACACCACTACCAGAGGTAAAGTCAAAATAAAAATGAAGCTGGAGTTATAGTCCAATGGCAGATTTTTATCTAGTTATGTGCAAGGGCTTTGATTAAATGCACAATGCATGCAGAGAGAGAAAGACAAAGACGGAGACAAGTCAGTCCTGTAGACCCAGGGCTACAGGATATCCGTGACACACGGCAGCAACAGGATGTCCAGGAAGAGTCCCAGTGAGGACCCAGCATCGATGGTGCAGTAGAGACCAAACCAGTGATTCTTTGATAAATGCCTGCATGTAAACTTACATGGATAAGGGGATTTACTGCATGACTCACTGTGTCATACCGCAGCTTCCATGATGGTATTTCCCCTTCGTCCTTTTTTCCTTTCTTCTCCCCCTCACCCCTTTTCTCTTAAATTTTATTTTGTTTTATTTTGGGATGGGGCAGGAGATGAGTAGGATGAAGAAGCATGATGTGAAAGACACGAATAATAAAATAAATAGATAGATAAATAAATCAGCTTAGAAATGTGGCTGAGCCGGGCGGTGGTGGCGCACGCCTTTAATCCCAGCACTCGGGAGGCAGAGGCAGGTGGATCTCTGTGAGTTCAAAGCCAGGCTGGACTGACAGCCTCCAAAACAACACAGAGAAACCCTGTCTCGTAAAACCAAAAAAAAAAAAGAAAGAAAGAAAGAAAGAAAGAAAGAAAGAAATGTGGCTGAACAATTTAGGCATGGCACAGTGGTTTCTTTGAGGTTTCAGCATTTAAATGAATTTTATCAAAATCTTAGGCTTTCACATTCTCTCACTCTAATCGTTGAGTTGATTTTTATTTTTATTTTCCCTATTGACATGTGTAATCCCTAGCTCCTCAATCAGTACAGATATAATTACTTAAGATGAGGTCATACCAGAGTAGCATGAGCCTTAATTCAGTATGACCAGTGTCCTGTGAGAGGGGGAATGTTGGCCATAGAGGCATGCAAGTAGAAAATACAATTAGAATATTGATGTTATGTCACAAGCCATCTGTGAAGTGGCAGAGTCACATCCGTTTGTCTGTGAACTTTCTCTGAGTCAGTATTGCAAGCATTAGAAATACCCGCCATCCCCCCCACCTCACAGAGCCATCATGAGACTCAAATGAGTTGAAAATGCGGAGGGATCAAAAAGAGTCCCACATAGGTACCGGGGGTTAGCAGTATGTCCCCAACATGTGGGTTTACAGATGATGAAAATGTGCAGATAATTCATGAACTAGGAGGGTTGTCCAAATCTGAAAGTCATCACAAGATTCCCTTTTGGAGAGCTCCTATTCCAGAGTTCTGTCTGTCTGCACACTCAAACTCTAACTTGAGATTAAATAATGCCTCTAAGCACACTAGACCTAATGCCTTCAATGCATGGGGGTTGGGGAGGGTAAGAGCTGGCCGTATTTATAGACCACCATCACTTTTATCAAGCCAAACTTCACTTTTGTGCTGGGTAACTTTGGAGGACAGGCATCAACCATTGCCTCAACAGGAGGAAGTTTCTGGTCCTCCTGCCCTTTCCCCATTCCAAGGAAAAGAGAAGCACCCATGAGGAATAGCCTCACCAGCTACAGGAACATAGCAATTTAACTCAGCGGTAAGCTGCTATGGCTAAACAACTTTCAGTTACTCTAGCGGTCCTAGTGATCAGTCGGTGACCACGGGAGCTTTGAGTGCCCAAGAATTAAACACTGTTCTTGGAACTTCTATGAGCTCTTGACAGATAATAGCTTGCCATTTTTCTAAGACACAGTTTTTGAATTATCTTCCAAGACAAATGTGCATGAACAATTGAATTAACTGGTAAGGAAGCCCCACAAATTACCCAGTGTCTGTGGCCCCTCAGAAATGGTGTCACTCTCTAATAATGGCCATGCATCCTCATAGAATTAATGGTTTCAAGGGGGTGGCTTAGGTTTTCTTCCATCAAGCAAAAGGAAATTACGAATTAATGCAGAAATGCATAAACATTTCAGGCATCCCCTCTATGAGCAGCTTTTGGTCCCCATGTCTGGTTCAAAAACGTGCAACTGTGACATGGACATGTGAGAAAGTGTTAAGAGGGGCCCTCAATTGGATGCAATTCATTCATTATGCTGTATAACACACTTCTTTTTTTAACTTTTTCATGAATCTTTTTATTTATTTAAGTTAGAAACAATCTTGTTTCACATGTCAATCCCAGCTCCCTTTCCCTCCCCTCCTCCCCCACCTCCCCACCAGGCCCCCCAATCCCCCACCCAATCTCCACTCCAATCCCCAGGAAGGGTGAGGCCCTCCATGGTGGATCTCCAGAGTCTGTCTTTTCATCCAGGTCCCACAAGAGTCCAGGCTGAGAGAACATTCCTCATTGATAACACACTTCTTATTTACATTTTATTTACTGTGTGCATGTGCACACGCAAGCATGCGATCCCATCCAAGAGACCTTACCTCAGTAAATACTGGAGAGAGTGGTTGAGGAAAACACATACGGCATCTGTCCTCCACACACGTGTGCACACATGGGAACATCACTTGCACACACACATGCTTTCCCAAGTATGAGTGCACATACGCATATAGGCAAACACACCACATACATACACATGAGAAAAGGCAGCCCAGACTTACAAATAGTGGGATTCACAAGGTTTATTTAAAATTTTAAGAAACAGTGTTCATTTGAATATTGCTATGTTGTTAAATTTTAAAACAAAATAAAACCTACAAATGTTATTCCATGGGGAGGAGAGAGGGAGGGAGAGGTACGGAGGGAAAGAGAGAGAGAGGGAGGGGGAGAGTGAGAGACAGAGACAGAGAGAGAGAGAGAGAGAGAGAGAGAGAGAGAGAGAGAGAGAGAGAGAGAGAGAGAGAGAGAATGTACTTCACTAGTGCCCTCCAGTGGCTAAAGAAAAAAGCTAACAGGTACATTAAAGGAAAAAAAGTAACTGAACTGTAAAGCACTCTGTAGTATATGCAAAAGGAAGAATCATCAACTGTTACTTAATATCATACTTTAGAATGGAGAGAAATTCCATAGCACAACTCTGCTATCCCTAAATCCTGGGTCAGAGTGAATGGAGGCTCTAGATTGCTGTGTTTATTCAAAGAGGACACAGGACAGTAGAATTCCAAGGTTTCAGGCAACAAGTGATCTTTGAATTGTATTCTGAAATACTAGTCACATCACTGGCCACAGGACAAGTATATACTAGAAAATGGGTAGAGACTACCTTGGTTGGAACGTATGAGACCACTGGGACAGATAGGAGTGGAAATGTAGTTGGTATGAGTTGGGAAAGACACTACCTGCCATGTGCAGAATTTTGTGCCGTATGTCTAATAAATGGTGGGTTATTAAATCCTGAGGCAAGGGAGCAAGATCAGGCAAGCTGTACTTCAGAATTCTCAGTCATGGGGCAACGGGAGGGCCTTAGGAAGACAGGAAAGCTGCTAAGAGGAGGGTGTTTAATGGCTCAAACAGGAAGAGGTAGACTGAAAAAATTACTGAAGCAGAATCAATAGTAGCTGGTTCTATACAGAATATAAGAAATCAGGGAAAGCAGTAATAAATAAGAGTGTTGTTTAGAATCTGTATCAGTGGCAAGATAATGACACAAAGAGACATAGGAATCACTAAAGGAAAAAGTATTTCAGGAAAATGGTACATTTTTAGGAAGAAAACACTTAAGTGTACACAAAGCATCTTGGAGAATGTATCTCAAAAGTAAAGTTCATGTAAGACTAACAGAGAAACAAAACTTAGAGATAAGAGTGTGGACAGTCACATTTCAGGTCATGTGTCTGTGAGATAAATAATGAGAGAGAGCCAGAAAGGACTCCACTGGGGAAAGACTGTGGAAGAGGAGTCTGATGGAGCACTCAGTGCTAAACAAGACATCCATGCCATCCCCTTTAAGACTCGGGGAGCACCTCAGATGAGCGAGCAGGAAGAATATAAGAGCAGATAGATAGGGAGCAGGGCTGCCGAATGCCACCCTCTAGGCACTGGAATTGCCATTGCTTTCTCTACTGTGATAGACTCCGTCTGCTTAAAGCACCAGCCAAAACAAAGCCTTCCTTTACGTTGCTTTTGTCAAATATGCCCTCATAGCAATAGTAAAAGGAACTAATAAAGCCTTCTGGGGTTGGAGAGATGGTTCAGTGGATGAACGACTTCGCTGAACAAGTGTGAGGAATAGAGTTCAGATCTCCAGATCTCCAGTATCCACAGAAATGCCAACTGAGCACAGTTGCCCACCTGCAATCCCAGTGCCTGAGAGCAAAGACTAGCTAAATCAGTGAACTCCCAGTTCATGGAGAGACCTGGACTTAGCAAATAAAGTGAAGAGAAATTGAGAAAGACATGACATCAGCTTTCTGGCTGCCACATGAACATGCCCACATACCTGTACTCCTTGCAGACATACGAACATGCACACATGCATGCACATACCACTTACACATATACACATGCAAAACAAATACAACCCCCATCCTGTACAAGTCAACTGAAGAGGGGAATACATAGTTTCTTACCTGCAGGATACTCATACCCAAATTCTAAAAATACCAACAGTATTCTTGTTTATTTGTTTGCTTGCTTGTTTGTTTGAAAAGCAAACTAATGAATTAAAGCCCACACTTGGAAAAAGGAAAAGAAATATTCTGAAAGCATTTGTGATTTAATTAATGTATAATACATAGATAATAGAGAAATAGCATTCGTAATCTGTGTTTTCCACCTTAGATACAGGAAAAGAAAAGCAGAAACATTATGGTTCCATAATTGCTTGGTATTATGTGGTTTCTTTTGGAAGGACGAAGAATAAAGTCTTTTTACTGTGACATAAAAACTGATAGCAAAATAGCTCTTCCTAGGAGAGACCTAGTAGTTCAAATGACTGTAATCCTCAGAAGGTTCTCAATTAGCAGAGCTGAATTCTACTCTACACAAGAAAATATGACTATTGTTCATATTGATGTATTTAATTCATGCAGAATTTGGGATCTTGCTGATTTGACTTTTGATTTCCTTTTATTCATTAGGCATATAGTAGCTTGTAAACACAACATGCCTTTTTAACTCAGCATTCGTTTACATGGTCATCTTTACATCAAAAACTCAGCCCCACTTCCTCATAATCTTTTTCCAGAGCAGCCAGATCTTCCCTGGCCTCTATAAACTCCCCTTGTTCCATGCCTTCTGTGATATACCAGTGCAGAAATGCCTTCTTGGCATACATGAGGTCAAATTTGTGGTCTAGGCGAGCCCAGGCTTCCACAATTGCTGTGCTATTGCTCAACATACACACAGTCCGTTGAACCCTGGCTAGATCCCCTCCTGGCATCACTGTAGGTGGCTGATGATTGATGCCTACCTTAAAACCAGTTGGACACCAGTCAACAAACTGAACAGAGGTCCTTGACTTCATGGCTGCAATTGCTGTATTCACATCCTTAGGGACTACATCTCCTCTGTATAGGAGGCAGCAAGCCATGTACTTCCCAAGCCGAGGATCACACTTGACCAACTGGTTGGAGTACTCAAAGCAAGCCGCAGTGATGTCAGTCACAGAGAGGTGCTCTTGGTAGGCCTTCTCAGCAGAGATGATGGGGGCAAGGGTTGTGATGGGGAAATGTATTCTGGGATAAGGTACTAGGTTGGTCTGGAATTCAATTAAGTCCACATTCAAAGGCCCTTCAAAGCGGAGTGAAGCAGTAATGGAAGATAACAACTGAGCTAACAATCTGTTTATGGTAGCATATGAAGGCCGTTTAACACCAAGTTTATGATGACAGATGTCATAGACAGCCTCATTGTCCACCATGAAGGTACAGTCTGAGTGTTCTATGGTAGAGTGAGTGGTGAGGATGGCATTGTAAGGTTCTACTACAGCAGTGGAGATTCTAGGAGATGGGTAGACAGAGAACTCCAATTTTGTCTTCCTGCAATACTCTACTGATAGTTGCTCCATCAAAAGAGATGTAAAGCCTGACCCTGTGCCTCCTCCAAAGCTTCGGTAAATCAAAAATCCCTGAAGTCCACTGCATTGTTCTGCCTGTAGAAAGAGCATACAACGTGAAAATTCCACCAGACATATTCAGAGCTAGTGAACTAAACAGTAATAGTAGAATATAAGTTCCCAAGAACAAAAGATTCAAAAGGAGGCTGGGAAAGGGCTCCATCGATAAAGCGCTTGCCTTATAAGCATGCAGTTCTGAGTTTGATCCTCAGATGTTACATTGAAAAAAAAAAAAAAGGAAAGGTGGTCATGGTGTCATATAGTTATGACCCCAGCACTGAAGAGGTGGAGGCAGACAGATCACCAGGGCTTGATGACTAAATCTAATCCAAGTTGGTCAGGACAAGGTCATATGAGACCCTGCCTCAAACAACAAAGGGAATGGAATCTGAGGAACAACCGGCAAGGGATCCCCTGGTCCCCACACGCACCTATGTACACAAGTACACACAGGAATACACACTTTAAAGTGATTCGGAATGGCCTCTTTTGCCATTGTCATCTACACAACAAGCATAGCTACTTTGAAATGTACCTGAATGATCCTTCTGGAGTTGGGGAAGGCTCTAGAGCTTCACTACTGCTTGAACGGTTCTAATTCCAAACTTCAAAATACTCCAAATCCTCTTTGTTTTTGTTTTGTTTTGTTTTTTGAGTACTTATATGATGCCACTAACAGAAATTCCATATCATAGCAATGGGTAGCAGTCAACACACAGACACACTAAAAGTACTGCATGAAGTTGCCCAAAGCCTATGACTATAAAGGTTATTTGAAATTTCAATGAATTTTACATTAGACTTGTTGGATCCTCTAAAATTCATACATATATATTTATAAATGAATGAAATTGTGTGTGCATATATATATGTATACATATATATATGCAAATATTCCAAAACCTGGAGAAAATACCCATCCTAGTAGTTTTAGTCCCAATTATTCAGATAAGGAAGGCTCAGCCTATAGAAGCCGTTGGCTATCTTTCATTGTTTTCCATGAATTTACCTACATATTATCTGAAGGTTTCATCAATAATAAAGAAGAGAAAATGAGAAAAAGTAAAATAAAATCTCCTCCACTGTAGACAAAGGACCTCTTAAGCTACACACTACATTCAGGATGATATGAAAGGCACTGTGTTACTGGTGATTACACCAAGCCACTTACATAACAAATGATCTGCAGGTTCAAACCCTCACAGAACTATTAGAAAGAAGAGTAAGTATCCTTCACAAAAGTTTTGCCCTTGTCATCTTCATAAGAAGTAGGGACTATTGGACAATAATACAATTTAGAGAGCTTTGAAAGTCTCTACTAACACACACACACACACACACACACACACACACACAATCACACACCCTGCAATAGTAGAAACAAGGGTAAAGGGGAGTCACCTGGCAATTGTAAAGGCTTCCCATGTAACAGTGTAACCAAAGCCAACACCAGGAGGCCCAGGATGAGAGGGTTGGGGACGGAAGGTGGCAGCAAGTCAGGCTGGCAAATGCCACCACAAGATCACCGGTATCCAACATGACCCACGCATAACTGGAGAGGAACTACTTGCCAGCTTTCGGATCCTTTCCAGCACAAGCTCGATGGCCTCTGAGCCCACAGAATAGCGACCTCGTGCATAGTTGTTTGCAGCATCCTCCTTTCCATTCACAAGCTGTTCTGGGTGGAAGAGGGAATGGTACTTCCCCACACGGATCCCATCTGCAGAGAGGGAGGTGCGGTCAGTACTTGCATTCACTTTAACTGCTGCCCCCTTTCTAACTCTGATAGGTCCCTCTATCCTTTTTCCCAGGTTATGGCAAAGGAATGGAATTTATTCTGCAGAAATGGCTTTTCTTAGTCTAGTAAAACAAAGAAGTCTTCTTGCTGGTGTTGTTAGGCAAGGAACTGTGTATTCCAAAAGACCTTGAACTTTTCATCCTCCTGCCTCCACTTCCTGGGGTTGGAATCAGAGATGTATACCACCATATATTCTTTAATGTTGAACTTAGGAACTGATTACAGGATTCCTGCATGTTGGGAAAGCACTGTAACAACTTAACTACATCCCCAATATTTGATTAGTTTTTATTTGTTCATAACACCTTGCAGAGCAGTACTTAGCCTATATATAAGAATTTCCTGCATTAGCCTTTTTTATCCTAATCATTTAAATAAAACTTTTAATATTTTCATTATATTAACATTCATTGGCATCAGTTCACTTTGTTCCATCAACTTATTTTGTATCCTAACTCTATTCTAATAAGGACATCAACTCTAATCTGGTATAGACAGATTGCATTTTTCTAGTAGAGCAGACTGCTTTCCAAAAATGGTCACAAAACATTTTCTATTACACATTAAAAGGTGTAGTAGGGTTCATATCCCTTCCCTCATGTCTTCATAGCTATCTTGACTCATTGAGAACAGATGAAATGGCAGTATGTAACTTACAGGGCTGAATGACAAATGGCATGAACATCTTCTGCCTTGTATCCATGGGATACTTGGTCTTGGCACCTGACCATCCATGCTAGGACCAGGTCAAAGCATCTCAAAATAGCCCATGTGAAGAGGGCGCAAAGCCCCAGCAGCACCCATGGCTCAGGGCTCAGAACACCAACTTGACATGTAGGTGAGTGAACCACTATCCACGTGAGTCCTCTGGCTCTCACCTGAATCTTTGAATCTGGAATCATGTGGAACAGTGAAAATTTGTATCTTCTAAAGCCCACCCAGATTACAAATTCATGAAGAAAATAATGGTTGCTTCTGCCTTACACCATTGCATTTGAAGGGAGTTTGCTGTATAGGAATGGGTAGCTAATATACATCAGATCTGGACCTACCCTGCTCTCTAGATGCTCTCTTAAGACAGTGCCTCCTTTCTAGCTCCAGTATCTCTCTAGATGCATTTTAGAAGTTGTAGGTCAGGATATTGAGAAGTCTGTCACTGTTAATTATAAAATAGCATTTGGGCCATCAAGATGGCAAAGTGGGTAAAAACTTGTTACAAAGCCTGGCATCTTGAGCTGGATCCCTGGATGTGCATGGTGGAAGGAGAGAGACTGAGAGACTACTGTTTCAAGTTGATTTCGTGTGTGTGTGTGTGTGTGTGTGTGTGTGTGCGCGCGCGCGCGCGCGCGCGAGCACAAGCAAGCAAGCAAGTGGGAGGAGGAAACAGACAGAGAGAGAGAGACAGACAGACAGACAGACAGACAGACAGACAAAGACAGAGAGGAAGGAATGGGGAGAAAGTGGGTGGGGGAGGGATGCTAGAAGGAGAAACTGAAAGGAAGAGAGGAAGAAGGAGAGAGAGACAATCAAATATATGTAAATTTTTAAATAGCATTAGCTTCCCCCATAATTTTAAGATTTATGTGGTACCTTGTTTCTGTGGAAGACAATGACAAGTTTTCAGGTTCTTTGCAATAGCTTCTAATTTTGCTCTCAGACCCAGGAAAAGGATTTAATGTTCTGCTGAAGTATGTGGATGGAGAAATTAGGAGTTCTATTTAGTTCATTTCACAAGAAAGGCTATTTGGGTATGTTCACTATGGTACAGACTGAGGTCGGGGAAGGTCTACATGATCCTGTTTGTATAGATGAGCACACTCTCTTAATCTCACCTACCTGGTTTGTCTGAGTTGGGGCTTTGCTAAGGCACTAGCAAGTCAAATTTAGATTACCTATAACAGTTGGTTCTAGGTCCATGAAAAGTGCTCTGGGCACATGCTTTCCGGCTCTTGTCTCATGAAAGAAAGTATCTAAAGATGCACTCCTATGTTCCATCTTAGTATTTTCCAAATGATCGTGTTGACTGTCCAGAATGAAGCCATCTGGCTGGATTCCATGTTCCAGGCAATATAGTTCCCAGCAAGCATCCCCAATCTGGACACCAGCTTGACCAATGTGAATGGAGAGACACTCCCTCTGGAATAAGCCACAGTGAGTTACAATAGAGTAGGAGCCTAGATAACATAAGCACTACTGTTTACGAATGACAAAGACCAAACTAGTTTAGGAATCACAAGGGAAGTTCATTGTATTCTAAAGCTGTGGTTCTCAACCCTCCTAATGCTGTAACCCTTTAATACAATTCCTCATGATATAGTGACCCCAACCATAAAAAATTATTTGTTGTTACTTCATAGCTGTAATTTTGCTACTGTTATGAATCATAACATAAGCAAGGTTTTCTAATGGTCTTAGGCAACCTCTGTGAAAGGGTCATTCACCCCCCAAAGGGGTCACAACCCACAGGTTGAGAACCATTGATCTAAAGTATTCTACAAAAGGGCCAGTTAGGTATCTCTGCAGGTAAAAGCAATTGCCAGCTGCATAATCCTGGCACTTGGAATATAATCCCTCAAACGCACATACAAATGGAAGAAGATAACCATCTCCACAAAAGTGTTCCATGAAAACCAGATTCCAAGGAGCAGCCACATTTCATGGAAAACTGAACCAAGATCTAAAATGGTGCTTAAATTCTTTCATGCTGGTGAGTCAGCTTGGTGAAGAAAACCATTTGTCTTGAAAGCCAGATGACCTGAGCTGGAATCCTGGAACCCAGGTGAAGACAGATTTGAGAGAACAGACTCTACAAAGCTACACATTGAACTCCACACATGGCTGGTGACATGCACATCCTCATATAGTCACATCATACACTCACATGTGCACATACACACAGTAATAATAAACAAGATAAAAATGTCTTAAAGTGTTTCTACGCTATAGAGTGCCTACTACTGTGTTCTGGATAAAGAATTGAGTTAAAACTCTATATGTATAGTCTTATATATCTTACACATAACTATAATTAAGGGTAAAATGCAGGTGTCATAAATGGATGTTTACGTCAGGCTAAGTTACCCAGAAAAAAAGTAATTAGTAAAGAATAAATTTTAAATTGACCAGCTTTGTCAAATAGTAAAACTCATTGCATGCAAACTAAAGATATTATCTCTTCATGCCTTGAAATTTTGTTTTTCATATGTGCTCTCCACAAGAAAGAATATTCTAAGGTTAAAACTATTAGAAATTTTCACATATTTTTCAAAACAAGCAAGTCATTGTTCATGAAAACTGGAGGTCAAAGAATGGGTTAAGGTGCTTGTCACCAAGCCTGAAGAACAGAGTTTGATCTCCGGATCTGCATGGTCAAAAGAGATAATTAGAAGTGTTTAAAGTTACCTTCTGACCCCACACCAATGCCCTGAACCCTCCACACACAATAAATAAAACAAATGTAATAATTTAAAGAAAACCCCATCATATGCATAATTATATAAAGAATATTTTGTTAAATGCTTTTTAAAAATACTTTTTGTTTTATTATTTTGTGTCTCTGTATGTGTGGGAGTTGAGAACTTCAGATAGAAGACCCACAAAACAAGCCTTTGAGCAAGAGTAGCCACATCTCTGAACTCTGGGTTTGATTGAGAGAACCTGACTCAGTGAATAAAACAGAATAATAATTGAGGATGTGTCCTAACATCAACCTTGGATCTCCATAAGTACATAACCCACCATACACATGTCAACACACACATTCAAAACCACCGTGAGCGGGCACACACACACACACACACACACACACACACACACACACACACACACACACACAAACACACACACTGAAAAAAAAGAAAAGAAATTAATGATTACATAAACTCTAGCTATTTCTGAATAATAGGGTTTTTTCTTATAGAAAGGTTACTCTTTTCATCTGCCCTCATCTGCATTCATTATTTTTCTTAAAGTAAAGCAACTTTTTAAGTAGTTGAGACAGACCATGTGCCTTAGTTAGGGTTTCTATTACTGTGACAAAACACCATGACCAAAAAGCAAGTTGCAGAGGAAAGGGTTTATTTGCCTTACACTTCCACATTGCTGTTCATCACTGAAGGACGTCAGGACTGGAATCAAACAGGGTAGAACCTGGAGGCAGGAATTGATCCAGAGGCCATGGAGGAGAGTTGCTTGCTTCTCGTGGCTTGCTCAACCTCCCATCTTACAGAACTCAGGACCACCATCCCAGGGATGGCACCACCCATCATGGGCTGGGCCCTCCCCCATTGATTACTAAATGAGAAAATGCCTTACAGCTAGATCTTAAGAAGGCATTTCCTCAGGCTCCTTATTGAGGCTCCTAGCTTGTGTCAAATTGACACACAAAACCACCAGTACACCATGTTAAGTACTTTTTAACGGAGAGAAAGAAAAAGTTAAATCCTAGAAATCTACAGCAATATCTGATGGTGAGCTGCTGCATTTTGATTGCCAGTGGTCCTGGACCAAATCTGTCCTGCCCTGCCCTGCCTTCTGCTTCCTCAAGTCCTTCAAGCTACTTGGCCTTGTAAGCTGAGGCACAACCACAAAAGACTGTCTCAAAGTCTGAACTGAACTATGGACCTCAGAACTCTCAATTGCTGGCCAAGCCTGTGTGAGTGGGAAGCCAGAGGATAAGGTCAAGAGCTCTGACCTGCCACACCCCAGCTCTGACCTGCAATCTGATCTGGACTCTGCCATGCTCAGCAGCGTCAAAAACTTGTTGTTTGTCTTGACTGACATTGACAATACCGTAGACTTCTTCGCTTCATGCAAATTTCAGGCTCAACACTTTGAACTTCATCTTGTTTCTTTGTGTGGCTCTCAATTTCTGGTGACTACAGCTGTGATCTTAACCTCAACATCACTTAAAACAAACTAATAGCCCTACATCTATTGGCATATGACAATCAAAACAGTACATTCCATTATGAACAAGCTTCGTAAATCCTTATCTGCAAAGAACAATTTCATTCCTCTCCCCTCCTCTTGGACTTTAAGAGCTATAAATACATTAACCAAACCAGACCTTTGCCCTCTTTAAGATCAGTTTCGAAAGAGGGTTGTTCATTGTACCCGAAAAAGGCTTTTAGTCTACAAAATTCACATGCAGACAGCTCCCAGTAACTCCCTTCTCCAGCTGTCAGTTGTCATAGCAGGAACTCTATGGAGAAGCATATTCTCTGACAGTAATTCACAGTAAAAACAATCACCAACAGAAATAAATTGCTGCCCTTCATGAGCTGAGAAACACAGTAAATAGTACCATTCTTTCTCAACACATCATAACTTAGCCTGACAAGCCCTGTTCTTAGCTATAGAAGCATCCAACTTTGCAAAATAGCTGCGTCTAATGGTATGGAGGACTAGATTGACCTTATTCCTCTCATAACCTCTGCCATCTTTCAAAGCTCTCTCTTAGAACATTAGTCACAGTGATAAATAGTCTGAGATTGCAAACTATCCTCTCAATGTCAACATCAATAAGTCCTAGAACACTAAGAAATGTCCTTCCAAAACTGATTTGAGTTACTGAGAAAGGATAATTTTCAGTTAAGCTTTTAGTATGAAGATAGCTGTAGATTCATATGTAACTCTAAGAATAATCAAAAGACCTTCCATACATACCCTTTACTTATTTGCAAGATGATCTCAAACCCAGAATGCTGGTATTAATCCAATCAAGACACAGAACGTTCTACTACAAGTATCTTTCATGTTGAAGCCATGGTTCTTACAACTTAAGAACCATATTTACTTAAGGGTAAATACAACTTAAACAACCCTAATGCTGGAGAAAAGTCCACTGGGGCAAGACAAAGAAGAAAAAGCAGTTTGAAAGGTTGCTTCCATTGAAGAGTTCAAATTATAAAATACCAAAAAAACTACTGTGATTTCCACATGGGCTAAGAAATAAATGAAAAGTGGCTCTTAAAAGGTAGCCCCAAAACAGAACTGCTAGAATTAACTATATTCCTTCTCACAGAGAGCTAAAGAGAGGGTAAAGAAAATGCTGTGCCCTTTATCCTGCCACACATTTGTGATTTAGTAACGAGTTAGGGTGGAAAAGTACCTAAACACAATCTACGAAATCTGCCACCATCCCAAATCAACACCATTAGTTGCATATTGTACTCACTTACCATGCTGATGAGAAGGTGGCCCTACAGCCCTGCCTGAGGTAATGACTGAGGAGCAGTCATTCCTAGCTCAGCCTTATCACTGGGCCCGGAAATGACTCCACTTGAGGGTTGAAAACATTCTTCACTTAAAGTAACACACCCAATTTTTAATTTTTCAGTTCTCTGATGGCAACATAGCCATATTGTGCCTGAGCTAGCAGTGTTGAAGTTTGTGTCAACTACAGTTTAGTCTCCTAAACTGGTGACAGCTTACCCTCAATTGCTTCTAAACTATATGTATGTTGAATATAATAAATTACTGTGTGTATGTGTGCACAGGTGTTTGTGTGGGTGCACTTTCATGTGTATGTGCACATGCGTGGAGGTCAGAGGACAGCCTCAGGTACCGGTCTTCAGGGTCACCCACCTTGGTTTCGTTACAGGGACTCTCCCTGGGCTGGCGCTGGCTGATTAAGCTGGACTGGCCGACAAGGGAGCGCTAGAGATCTACTAGCCTTCACATTTGCATCACTGGCTGTGTTAGTCAGTGTCCTATTGCTGGGAAGAGGCACCATGGCCAAGGCAAGTCGTATAGATGGAGGCATTTAACTGGGGCTTGCTTACCGTTTCATAGGATCGGTTTGTTAGCTTGGAGGGAAGACTGGTGGCTCACAGGCAAACAGGGTGCTAGAGATGTAGCCACGAGTTCTACATCCAGATCCACAGGCAGCAGGCAGAGAGGAACTCTGGGCTTGGAACGGGCTTTTTGAAACGTCAGTGACACACTTCCTCCAACAGGGCCAGATCTTCTAATCCTTTCAAGCAGTGTCATTCCCTGGTGACCAAGTTTTCAAAGCCATGAGCCTGTGAGGGCCATTCTTATTCAAACCACCACACTGGCGTAACAAGTTTGAGGGGGATACAACTAGGGCTCTCATGTTTGTGCATTAAGCAAGCACTTTCCTTATTATCCTCCCAGCCCTCACAAGTGTCTTCCAAAGTTTTTCCTCTGATATTAAGAATTGAGTCAGCATTAATGGGGAAAACAAAGACATATGAGTACCACTTGCTGCAATAGTAAATCAGCCTGAAACGTGTTGGGAACCAAACTTTGGTCCCCTGCAAGAGCAACCAAAGCTCTTAGCCCCTGAGCCATCTATTCAGCACCAAATCAGCTCTTTCTGTTTCACAAGTGTCTTCTCCTTGAATAAAGTTCAAACCATTTTAAACACAGACAAAACTAGACACATTAAGTGTGATACAGACATAGATCAGTCTTAAAACTTAGGGAAAACAAAGAATCGTTTTGCTTTGTGTTCTTTTCCCTTTTATTGAGACAGGATCTTACTACGTAGACCATGTGAAACTCAAGTTCACAGTCATCCTACTTTGGCCTTTAAGTGCTGAGTTTGAAGCTGTGCGTCACCATGCTTGGTCAGATACACATTTTTACCATCACCTCTCACACAGACACCTCATCCAACAGTTCTCCTAGACATGAGGGGATTTTCTAGACATTTGCTATTATTTTGTTAACACAGTAGTTTTTTATGTTCATTTTCTTTGGGAAGCAAATTCAAACTCATAAGACTTTAGGGGAGCATTTCTCATACAAACTACTAAAGTCCTCTAAGTGTACTTTCCTTTTGCAATTAGTTGCAAGGCCTTAGGCTAAAATTGGGGCTTTCAAATGAAAAAAGACATATCTGCTGTGTGTGACAGCATCAGTGTCTGTACCAGCTCCTGGTCTAGAGTTCCAGCTGACAAGCCATCTACTCATGGCAGATCTCACAGCTCCAACAATCACGCAAAATAAGACCTTGAAAGAAATCATATATCCATACAATACTGGTTTGGACACACTTGGTAGCTATGCTTAGGTCTTGAAAGAATGAAAAAGAAAAAGTAACAGCCTGGTGCTTACTATTATAATTGCCACCCTTCTCCATTCCTTTCTTATGTAGGTTTCAATAAATGGGATATCAGTGTCCATACTGTGTGGGTGTGGTCATGTACGTTATGTGTGTGGTTGCCCATGTAGGTAAGAAGACCTGGAACTAGAGTTACAGGCAGCTGTGAGCTGTCCAATGTGGGTACTGAGATCCAAACTTGTATCTTCAACAAGGCCAACAAATATTCTCAATTGATGAGCCATCTCTCCAAGCCCTGGTTTTACTTTTTTTTCAACATAACATTTTTATTGATTTGGGAGTTTCACATAATGCACTGTGATCATATTCACTTCCTTCCCTGTCTTCCCAGGTGCACACACCACCCACTCCCCTTTGTGGATTCCTCCAAAGAAAAGAAAATACCATTTTCTTTAAGGGATTGGTTTTAGTTTTTTGACACAAAGTTGGGGAGCAAAGGGTTTATTTTAGGCTTCCATATCACACACAGTTCATCACCAAAGAAAGTCAGGACAGGAACTCAAGCAAGGCACCCACCTGGAGGCAGGAGCTAAGCAGAGGCCATGGAAGAGTGTTGCTGCTTACTGGCTTGCTCCTTATGTCTTTCTCTGTCTTCTTTATTATAGAACTCAGGACCACCAGCCCAAAGACGGCACCATCCACAATGGGGCATGTCCTCCCCCATCAATCACTAATTCAGAAAAATGCCTCCAGGCTTGCCTATGGCCTGATCTTATGGTGGCATTTTCTCAGTTGAGGGTCCCTTCTCTCTGATGACTCTGGTTATGTCAAGTTAACACAAAACTGTCCACCAACAGCCTTTCCCTGGGATTGTATGATCAACTCTCAGTATGCAGTTATGATGGTTTGAGGGAGAAATGTCCCTTGTGACTCAAGTCTTCAAACACCTGGTCTCCAGTTGGTGATGCCCTTTCAGGATGTTTATGTAGTAGAGCCTTAAGTGGAGGAAGTACGCCCCTGGGGCTGACTTTGGGGGTTCATAGCTTTACTCCACTTCCAGTTTGCTTCCTCTGTTTCATATTTGCAGTCAGAGATGTGATCTCTCAGATTTCTGCTCCTGACACCATGCCTTGCTGCCATGTCTCCTCACCATGGTGAAC